CCATGCAATGCATCATTTGATTTTCCATAAATGTTTATTAATAAAACTTAGTAACCCATGTCTGGTTTTGTTGAATATAGAATGCCTTATTAAACTTGTTGAGCCCATGTTTTGTGATATATGCTCCAGAAAAAAACAAGCAGGTAATAACATTAAAGAAAGAAGTGTGTGTGTGTGTGTGTGTGTGTGTGTGTGTGTGTGTGTGTGAGAGAGAGAGAGAGAGAGAGAGAAAATGAGAGAGAGTGCGAGCAAGCTTATATATTAAATCTTTTTAAAGGGTTAGCCTCTATGACCACTCAGATTTTTTAATTTTTAAAAAGTGACATTTCTGCATTGTTCAGTTGATGATTGGACAAGATTCATTTTGACATTAACAAGTTAGCCACGGTGTAGTCCTGTCAGCGTTTTAAGCACACCTTACATAGGTTTTATTTTCTTCTCTGTGTCGGTTCTTTCCGCATTTGCAGTGTTTTGCTAACAGCAGCGTAAATGTTGGCTTTCAGGTTTGCTCTGTCACCCTGTTAAAAACAAAAACAGTGATTGAAGTGGGGTCACAGATGTTTAAGAAGATTAAGATAAAAATAACATTAAAATATGAGCCATTGTTTTACTCTTGGCTCCTTAACAACCGAATACGTGTCCGAGGCCAGAAGGGCCACGTTAATTGTGATACATCCAAAGCGGGATCTTGCCGCTTTCTGTATTTTAAAGGATTTTCTTTTGTTTTGATTTGTTCTCTAGTGTTGTGAGCCTACTTACAGGACAGACGGCCCTATTTTGTGGTGCATTTGTGCATTTTGGCTAGAGCCGATGGGGTATCAGGTTCTGTGCACTAAATGATCACGATAAAGCCACCAAGTGGCCTATTCCATTCAACTGTCTCCCAGAGAAGAAGCCCAATTCTTTGGTAATTTTGAGTCAGTCGCAAGCTGGCGAGCACAATGCTGAATTCCCCAGGGTTGCAGTAAAGTTAGGAGCCATGTGGTTTTCTCCATGAAGAGCCTGTAACGGAACTAACTTTCATAGGAGAAGTTATCTTCTCCTTCCTCGGGGCAACGTGTGCTTTACAAATGTCAGTGCATGTCCAACTTGCGGATGAATACCATCGGGAGTGCCCTGCCCTGCTACTACAAATCCTTTCTTCAGCACACTCTTCAGAGACCCATGGCGTCTTCATTTCTCAAAATGCCTGCCCACCCAGAAAAGGAAGTTTTAGCCTCAAAAGAAGCAAGTCTTTAAGCTTTGTACATGTGTCTTTATGGAAAAAGACATATGATGGTATTTTTTAATTTATTTTTTCACCTTAGACCCATGGGCTCTTGGCGTGGAGCCAGCAGAAATCTGTAGCAGGCTCTTAGAAGTTCCTGATGTGTGTGTAAAAATATTTAGTTTGCTGGGCACACAACTAGTTAAAGTGATGTTCAGAATTTACCAAAGCAGCACTGATGTTATTTAGTACTTCCTGTACATGTAGCACTGTGCTGAATCTAATGCCTAACATGAAAGTTTAAAACAAAATCTTTTTAAATCCCTGTGGTCCACACCAGCCCCAGGCCAGTTCCCATGAGGCAAAAACCAGGCACGCCTCTACTCTCTAGTCCCTTACCCTATTCCAACACAACCATCCCTCTCTGATAGCTTGTCTCCTGGGTTCAGTATGGATTACTGAACTAATCCATTGCAATGGATTGTTGAACCTGGCAAAAATGGATTATTGACAAGGTTTAAAGAAAGAAAAGAATGTTTGAAAGCAAGTAAAATTAACTTAAGACTGTAGAATAAATACCTAAAGGTAGTATATCGTTGCTTGTTAAATTAAATGTATGAATAGTGATTGATATGTTTTCAAAGGGAATCTCATTCTTAGGCAAGCAGGAAAGTTGTGGCAGAGATTTTTTTAGTTACCTACAACATCCAATTTCCCTTTCCATGAAAATAGGACTTCACTTCTGTTGAAAATGGCAGGCATTCAACTGAAAAACAGTTCCAGTTCCGCCATAAAGCCAAGGAAATTGTGTTGAGATGCAATCAAAGTTTAGGAAGGACCGTGACTTAGCTGGCATACAGCCTTAGCTCTTCTTTGCCTTCATATCTGCTCTGGACGACGGATGGAACGATGGCTGTGGCATCAGCCATTTTGTGACCCTGATGCAACTAAGAGAAAAGAGTCAGAGAATTGAGGCCATTGGTGGAGCTGCCTCTAGCTGCTGCTGAAGCTTCTCGCTGTGTGAGAAAGATGAAACCTGTAACACATGCAGCCGCTCGTTAACTGCAGCCGAAATGATCCCGCCGTTCTCAGAGGAGGGGTGGTTGGACCGGGGGGATGGTCAAGGAAGGATATCGTTTAGAACCAGTAGTTAAGTAGCATATCATGAATAAAATGAGAGGTGGAAAAGGTACAAGTTGTGTTCAGAGACATGTACTGTGCCTCTAAGATACGGTAAAAGCCCACCCTGACTGTTAGCGCAGAGGCCGAGACTCCTTAGACAGACCTGTAGTAGTTAACCACTTCCCTTCTTAAGGTTCATGATTTTCTCATTCAAAGCCTAAGGCTAGATGTTACTAAAGTATTTTTACATCCAAAGTTCCTATGGGTCTAATTAATCCCATTTGGTTGGAGATGACTAGATGAGAATTTTAGAATTACTAGGTCTTGTCCCTTTCTGATCCTAAGACAACTTGCGTGTTGATCCTTCCACAGTGAAAAGCTGGCCAGACCCTTCCTTTGCTCAGTACTGCCCAGCGGGTTCCCCACTGTCAACAGAATCAACCAACGCCTTCGTGTGGCATCTGAAGCCCTTCGTACTCTGGCTGTGATCACCTTTCTAGTCTGCTCTTTCACTCGTACACGTCGTCCACCTGCCCACCTTTTCTGTCTGGGCCATGGCCTCCTGGAAACGTGAGCTTTTCTAGCCGTTCTTTCATTCGCTTCGTCCTACTTTTCATCGGTGTCTTGGAATGGAGGCCCACTGCTCAGGACGTCTTCTTCTACCCCTGCGCAGTTCCGCACTTCTGTCCATGGTTGGACACCTGGGAACCCCCCTGTTGTTGTCAGCTGGCACCCACGTACAGCAGCTCCATGGGGCGGAGTACAACGGCTCTGTGGGGTCTTCTCGCCTGTTATCATTGTGCAAGCAGATCGCCAGATCTTTCTCCCACAGCGTCACCAGGTGCGAGCCTCTGGGTCAGCAGCCACATGCCTAGCTGTTGGGCCACCAGAGCTCCTTTATGAAACATTACTCATACATTCAGATTCCTTGATCACATACCTATCTTCTGAACTCAAAGGGATTTCCATAAGGAATGGAATTGAATCTTACTCCTTTGTTTCCCCAGCCCATTATATGGTACAGTCCCTGACCTATAACACTACTCAATAAATTGTTGTTACATGAATCTTTGGACGGATAGGTTGGGACAGAACTGTGGAAGGCCTTAAATAAAGCCAGGCCAGTTTGATAAACTTCATAATTCTGTCCCTGGAAAGCCTGGTGGGATTGGGGCACGTCATGATGGTGGATGGCAACCTCTCAGGGGCATTCACACTTCCTTGTCTTTCCTTCTTCTTCACCTCTGTACACTGTGACCAGGGACCCTCCCAGATATGTATCTGATTGTTGTGCTCCCCCTCCCTGGTCTCCTCCTCTCCTAAAAGGACTGCTACGTACCTTAACACAGATGGCAGTGACCCTGACTCCTCTTTCCTCTTCTCTTGCACCTCACCCAGCTTCCAGAGTTCTCAGCCTTCTCGTAGTTCTGTGATCTCTCTGGGCTTTCTCCTGCACTGCTCTCTCCTGTCTCTCCTACTGACTAACTTCCAGTCATCCTTCAGGTCGCAGCTCGAATACCATCACCCCCTGGGACAAACGCATCCTCTCTCCCTTCCCCAGGGCGAGGGGAGTGAGGTCCCCTGAGATTCCCACAGCAGCTGCCCTGAACTCTGTCCCTCACTAATAGCCCTCACACTCTGGGGGACCTGTGTTTGGAAAGTGTACTTGTGCAATGACCTCTTTCTCCTCCTGTCCAAGGAAGAAATTAGGTTTCTCTTGTGCATACTTTATATGCACAGTTTTGAGGTCTGTATGTTTTAATTAATTATCTTGCTCATTTTTCTTTATATAAAAATGTGTGAAGATTGCACAGGTTTCCATCATATGCTTGTGCCACTTCAGCCAGTCCTCAACTGAATATGGGGCACATGTTTACTATTACAAATGATGGTATGTGGCACATCTTGGCACGTGGATCTTTTTCTGAAGTTTGAACCACTTCCTTCAGATGGTTTCCTAGGAAGAGAATTGCCCAATCAAGACACATGAAGTTTTACAGGCTTTTGCTTTGTTGCTGTTAACCACCGCCAAGTATGCCCTGGACTCACGGCTACTGCCCGCACAGGGGAACAAAATGCTGCCCGGTTCATCGTCAGATATGAATCAAACCACTGTGACCTGCAGGATTTTTACTGGCTGGTGTGTTTGTTCCTTTGACATAGATTGCCAGGCCTCTTTCCTAGTCTGTTTAATTCTAGAAGTTCTGCCAATGCCTGGCCACTGTGAGAGAGCCTGCTGGTGTTTGAAATAGCAGGCGCATAACTTCCAGTGTCATAACCCACACATCGCCATGGTATGAAAACTAGCCTCTGGGGGGTGGCATACAGATGAGGGGACTTCAAAAAATTCATGGGAAAATGGAATGAAAAGATAGTGGAATTCTTCCATGTTTGTTTTAAAGCCCCCTTGGGTATTTATAGATATTATGTTAATAATACTCTTTAAAATATGACATAAAATATTGTAACTGAACTTCTGTCATGGAAGTCTGTCTGTGACTAAACAAACGAAACTAAGCAAGAGCTCTTTTGTAGTCTCACGATTCCAACCGTTTTTCTGTTAAAAAGAAAAATAATCTAAAGGCTTGTGTTTTGAAAATAAGTGTCAAAGAAAACAATCCCAGAGTAAAGTAAGTAACTCTCTTGCCCCGTGTTTATTTTGCCATTGTAGGCAAAGCACTGACGTTTCTGCTGCTGCAGCCCCCAAGTCCCAAACTGCCCCCACACAGCACAATCCGGAGGACCGCTACTGACCTCATCGGCCGAGGCTTCACCGTCTGGGAACCGTACATGGACGTGTCGGCTGTGCTGATGGGGCTTCTCGAGCTGTGCGCTGATGCCGAGAAACAGCTGGCCAAGTAGGTGCTCACTTCCACTGCTGGTGCCGAGGGGAGAGGAGGGTAGTGATCGAAGGCTCTTTCTAAGCCGCGCTTATTTAATAAACCAAGGTGGAATTTTGGTGGCGGGCAGTTAAAAGGAACCGTGTTTTTGAAACTTGAGTGCAGCTGGAACTATTGAACCAGTGCATGAGTGATCTGTGCTTCCCCCTCAAAAGCAACAAAAAGTCAAGCCCCAAACCCCGTTATCAAGTTGATTCCCTCCGGGACAGAGTGAGCATGCTCCCAGGTGTGTCTGAGGCTGTCAGTCTGTGTGACCTTCTCCTCCCAGCAAGTGGCGAATGGTTTTGAACTGCTCACCCAATCTGTGACCGTTTTCAAATTGTGTACTTTGAGAGGTATTAACCAACAGTAGTCCACAACAATGAACTCTGAAGCTTATCAGTGGTCACCAGGCAACATTTTGCTCATAAAGTCACCGTGACTCATAATTGACTTGATGACAACTAACAAAACTTATATGAATCTAGAAGGTAAGTGGAAAAAATGCTGGTAGGGTTCCAGGTCTTACCTGCACACGTTTATTGCAAACACGGTGTGTTTATACAGATGTCTGATCAGTGGATGACTGTAGACAGGTTCTCAGCAACGTATATGTCAGATTCTCGTTAGGGTGTCTTCAAAATGGAAGTCCAATCAAAACAGTAGCTTCGAGGAGGTCTGCTGGGCAGTTAAACTCAAGGCAGAGAGGTTAGCTCAGAAGTACACAGAGACTGTTTTTGGAGATTGCCCAAAGTGGTAGTGATCTTGGTAGATTTTCTTGACGGACACAAGGTGATCATGGGAGCTTGCTAGAAAGAAGTTTTAAGAAAACGGAAAGTTATTGGTGAGAAAAAGGCCAGGAAAAAAAAATGGCAATAAGGAATTTTTTTCCCACGAGGACAATGTACTCCCTGGTTATCCCTGGTTTGCGAAAGCTGCGCTCCAAAAATTGTGGTGCAATCCCTCATCCCATCCACCCACAGCCCCGACCTTGTCCCTTCAGACTCCGTTTCTTCCCCAAACTCAGCCTTGAACAGGAATTGCTTGAGGATGCCAAGACTGCTGTTTGTCCTGGTGTGAATCAAAGAGTGTGATCTAGGGAAAGATCGGAGCGCTGGAAATACCATCTGCTGAAGTGTCTAGGCCTCAATGAAGCTTATGTTGAGAAACAATGAGTTCGCCTTTTGATATTTGTGTGTGCGTGTTTATGGTTTTGTAGTAATACTTTTTAACTTGTGGTTTCTAATTGATGATAAGGAAGTTGATGTCAATTGATAAAATATTCAGTGCTTATTTTTTTAAAAAAAGGTTTGCAAGTAGGGCATGACCAATGTGTCCTAGGATTTCTGCGACTATAAATCTGTACAGGAACAGAAAGCTTCTTCTTTCTCCCATGGGGCAGGAAGTGGGGGTGAACTGATGACCCTTGTGGTGTGCAGTCCAGTTCATCGTCCACTGTATCACCGGGACCCCTCAACTAGCCTGGTGGGTAGGAATTCCTGAACTGGCCCATGCTACTTCTCTTGATGGACGAGTGGCATTTCCCTCATATCAGTGGTCCCTGAGCGAGCGCTCGCTGAGCTTCCTTTATGGTTGCCTTTCTTATAGCCCAAAGAGTCTTGGGAGCGGAGTGAGTGAGGAGTGAGTCTGCTGACCGCAAGGTTGGTTGGATAGAAACCATCAGCTGCTCAGTGGGACAAAGATGAGGCTTTGTGCTCTTGTAAAGAAACCCAAAGGGGCAGCTAGTTGTACCCTGGACGATCGGCTCAGAGTGAGTCAGAATTACTCAATGGCAGTGAGTGTGGGCTCAGTGTTTCATATGCCACAGCTCCCTTATCTTCCAGAATGCTTAGGGACAAGGGAGCATTGGCCATGGCATGCTGGCTGCTCTGTGCTAAGGAAACGGAGCAGACAGGCAGTTGAAAGCTAGCCTGAAATGTCGTGGCTTTGTCTACACACAGTAAGCATTGTGAGATTAGATTCTAGGGTTGATAGATGAGGGAAAGAATTCATTTCGCACCCTTCCCTCATAACCTCTTCTTGTCAGTCGACAATGCTTCCTAAACTTCTAGGTGTCTTCCTAGCTGTGGGCCCTTCCGCAAATTGCTTCCCCTCTCCGCCTTGGTTCCGACAGTAAGATGGGGCTGGTGGAGATGCCTACCTCCTGAGATTGCCCAGTCAGCTCCAGTTGATCGCAGCCCTGTGTCCAGCAGGTCGAGACAGTGCACAGCTTAGCTACTGTGTAAATACATCCTCTTGAGAGTCTTCTTGCTGACCCTCTATTGTAACAAGTATGATGCCCTTCAGGGACTGGGCCCTTCTGAAAACATGTCCAAAGTGCAGGAGACACAGTCTTGCTTGGCTTCTTGCAAACGTTCTAGCTGTATCTCCTGCCATTGGGTCCACGACGGCTCACACCGACCCAGAGGGACAGGGTAGCGCTACCCTGTGAGTTTCCTTAGATTGCACCCTGTGGTTCTCCCGAGAAGCGGCTGGTTTCTAACGGTTCCCATGTGAATGGCCGCTGAAGGCATAGTAACCAGGTCTCTTTGTGCTGGCTGGATGCTTCCAAACCAGAGTCACTGGTTCCTCTGGCTGGCCATGGCATGTTCATTATTCTTTCCCAGCACCCCACCGAACTCCAAGGTGTCAGTTTTTCTCCGATCTTTGTTATTCTTTGTCCAGTATTTGCTCACATATGAGGTAATCCTATGACTTGGATCAGGTGCACCTCAGTCCAATTTTAACATTTTAAAGAAATATTTTTCAGCAGGTTTTTCTAGTGCAACATGCCTTTTGGTTTCTTGACTGCTGCTTTAGTGGACTTTTATTGTGGATCCACATCAAATACAATCCGTCGAGCATATAAGGGGTATGGGTAGTGGTGGTATGGGTAGTGATACATTTCAGTATTCTGGTATAGAACGGATGAAAGCCCGCCCAACTCTAGAATGAACATTTGGCATAGTGTGGATATGGGAAGTGGCAGGGTTCCCTCCTGACTGAAAGGATGGGATTGGGGCCATTGTATTCATGCCAGTCGGAAGAGGCGCACGTCAAGAGCTGTCCCCTCCAGGGAGTCCCACAGCCTCCCTGGCATGTCTTGTTCCCGGCCGTTCAAAATGTTGCTCTGGCCTAATCTTACAGCATCTTTCCAAATCTGCCCTGCACACAATTTCCCGTGTGCACGCGTTTGTTTCCTGGAGGAAGTGGTGGTGGAGATGGTACAGGCGGGCATAAGGAGGCGCGCCGGCCTCATCTGTGTGTGCACTGTCCGCGGACGCACGCAGGGTGCTTTCTCAGTGGATAATTTCAATCTTGCTCTCACATCCTTTTCTGTCACGAAGATTAGTAGGACTCCCTGTACACAGCTCTGAATAAATGAATGTATCAGCATGTAGCCTTGAGGAGTCCAATGTAATTTTCATCGTGATAAATTGTATAATAAGCAAGAAAATGTTTGCTTATTAATCTATAACAAGATTTAGATTGAAAATGGCCTGTTACACCCATGGCACACTGGCGTGGGCTGCAGGCTAAATGAGGTGGTGCACAGGGTTGGGGTCTTGCCATGCATGGGGTGTTAGGTGTGCCCCCTAGCCTGGGTGCCCTGTCACATGGCTCCTTGATGTTCCTGCATGCTAACTGGGCTTGGCTGCCACACCCCCTCCTGGGTCATCCAGTGTGCGTCACCAAGAGGCGCCTGTAGGTCAACGCTTGTGACTTAAAGGTTTCAGTCCTCTCACTGAAAAACAGGCACAGGCCCTGTTTCCTTTATTACTTTATTTTAGGCCCATTGTTTTAAGTTGATGGCAGAGTGTGGGACAGGGCATGAGGAGGGGCAGCCAGCTCAGGTCTGCTGCTGACCTCTAAACCTAAGACACCAAACCCAGCTGCCTTTCATCACTAGTGACTCTTAGCGACCTTGTGGGACAAAGTAGAACCCTCCCCATAGAATCTCTGAAGGTGTTCATCTTTATGGGGACAGAGAGCCTCAGCTTTTGCCCCCACAGAGTGACTGGTGGATTTGAACTACCGACCTTGTGGTTAGCAGCCCGATGCTTAACCACTGGACTACCAGAGCTTCGGCATCTGGAGGGCACATGTTACAGTAGAGTGTTTCATCCAGTGTCTCCAGTGTTCTGTTAAGTAAAGTAAAGCTGAGGGAGCAAACAGCTTCTCCAGGCTCCTTTGAGTGCTATGATCGCCAGGCTGTCACTCCGGTTTACACACACACACACACACACACACACATGCACGCACTTCCCTGTGCCATGTGGGTATGTGACAGGTGAGTCCTAGGTAGACCCTCACTTTCAATTCCTTCTCCTCTCCTAACCCTTCTGAACTTGATCCTTGCCCTTTTGATTTCAAATGGTTAGATTATTCTAAGGTGTGTGTACCTCCCTAGTGTTACTGCCCCCTTACAGACCTGTTATTTGGCTGAAAAGTGCTCTTGGGGAGTGAATTAAGTTCCAGACCGAAGGGTGGCTAAGGGCCACACATAGTCTCTGAGGTTCCATCTGTCTCCATCTGACCAGTAAGCCTGGTCTCTTTGAAGACTTAAAGCCTTGCCCCACATTTCTCTCCCACTCTGTCTAGGCTCGGCCTGAGTACTTCCTTAGAGAGCAGTGGGTAGTGGTGGCCAGGCACTGTCTGATGTTCACATGGTCCATTCGATCAGCATGGTTGTCTACCTACTGATAAAATGTGAAAACAGTAGACTATCTTAACCTTATATAGGAACAGAAGATTCCTCATGGTTTTGGAAAGCTAGACCACCATACCTCGTTGATTGTCCTGTGGTTTTGATTCAGTTTTCCTGATCACCTTCAGGTTTTCAGGGCCCTCACTCTGAAGGAGAACACAATAGTCTGGTCCATCTGGAGAGGGTGCTCATCCCTCACCACATCCTGCGTGGCTGAAGGCTGTCACTGGTTACAGAAAGCCTATTGCTTCTCTGGAATATTCAGAGATCA